TCTCCTTGAATTCATTGCTTTCTAATAACATTATCAAATGTATTTGTATACAAGTCTTGTTCAAGTGATACGGTTGAAATTCTAAGTTCATGACATTCCAATAGGGAGTCAACGTTCCATTCCGGTCTATATAATATAAAAGATTATTTATTTACTTATCAGTTATTGTTCCAGACATATTAATGAACTGTGCATAATTAAAGTTATTTATGTAGTTAGATATTTTTTCATGTTCTACTTTCACGTTGCATAAGTTATATTCCATTAAATGGATGGGTAGCACATATACAAATTAAATGTTATTATTATATATACGTGTCCTTCATCTTATTGCAATGAACATATATAAAATGAAAATCAAATTGAAACAAGATCAAACATAATTAGTGAAGAAGAAAAAGGACCCCAAAAGTGAAGAAGAAAATTAAAGGACCCCAATCAATGAAAACTATTTGCTAAGTTCCATGAAAACATTCATTATTTTTCTATATCACCAAATACTTTTCAAAAACTATAATATATATAATTTGATATTATATAAATTGGATTTTTAAGTACTTATCATTCTTTTCTACAACACTAATATTATTTAATTGCGCATGACACAGTATTAATAGAAACTAGTACAGAGCCCGTGCGATGCACGGGGTGTACAATTTTAAGGCTATTTATCCAGGTTTATAATTATATACATGAATAAAGAAAAATGTACGGGATATATATAGTACGTGACCCGTGCGAAGCACGGGATATATTTATTTGGAGAATATTATATTATAAGATGCAATATTCAATAGAAGTTTATAATACGCAAGAAAATTGTACAATGTTCAATAAAAGTTTTATAATATTCAAGTGGAGTCTTAAAGTCTCTTATACATTAGGACTACTAACAAAATAATATTTTAATCAATGAGTTTCCTTTCCTTGTAGCCAAATTGTGAATGTGATTTGAGGAGTACAACAAATCGATATATAGCAGACTCGCTTTTTTCATTGTAGTTTTTTTTCTTTTTTTTTTAATAATGAATTTAAAGATATTTTAAAATATAGCAAAAATTAATTTTATTATTACAATTAGGAATTTTACTAAATATAGACTCTCAATCTATGGTGTTAATCAACGTTTAAGTCTAAAAAATTAGAAATTTTTATCTCTTTTAATCAACATTTAAGTCTAAAAAACAATAGAGTTATTATAAGTTTTTTTCTACATCTTTTAAAACATTAAATATGAGCATGTTAGGGTTAGCTTGTAAAATAATTAATATATTATCTCACTAAAACATTTATACTAATAAAAATTATATGATTTTTTTATTTTTTACAATATGGATTTAATAGTTTTTTATGATTTGATAATATAAACAAATCTATACTTAACTTTGACAAATAAAACAAATAAATACTTTAGTAAGTATTTAATGTATATACTAAATAGGAATATATTTGGTATAATCAAATACCAAATATAATCAAATAAGTCAAAGTGTACATTTTTATTTGGTATTTGATTTTTTTATTATTAATTTTTTTTTATTATACTTACCTTTTTAAAATAAAACAAATAAATAAATTAATTAAATAAATAAAATATTATAATACCAAAATAGTAATGACATTTAATGCAGTTGACTTTTCTAGACAATAAATGTAGTAAATAGAATCTACTTTTATATAAGTATAGATATGATATAATATTATATTGCTCAAAATAGTAATGCATTTATTGCATTGACTTTTCAACTTACTAAATTTCGTAAATGGTACCCCTTATTATATAAGTATAGATTATAAATAGTGTTACCTGTTGACAACATTCATATGACTAATTCACATATGATGATGATAGATACCCCTTACCCTCTTCTTTGCCTTTTATTTTTGTTCAAATATTCCCTGCCATTTTACTGAGTCTGATTCTCCTTATTTAGGTGGCCATAGACTAATATCTCCACCGACTAATGCACAT